ACAAAGACGAGTTATAATTGCACTATGAGTCAATATATAGTTTGCAATTGTACTTCGGACACCCTACCTGGGCAAAAAGTTGGGTTGTATATATTGCCAAAAGTTCAATGTGAAGATGTATCTTGGGCCATAGTGCAATTATAACTAATTTTTATAACTCCCACATAGTTTATCCTTTGTTGAATAAGCACTTGTATGATATTTAATACAACATTGGAAAAGAAAAAAAAAAGGTAGCAATTGAGGTTTTTTTAGTTACACTTAGACAAATCGACTATATTATTGGTTGCCTAATCATACATAATTATGAGAGACTATCTCGAATAAGCAACGTGAATTTTAAAATTTTAAGAATTATTTTTCTTATTAAGATCGACAATATAGGAGTGTCATTATCCGGTCGTTTTTATGTCGAACTATTCATTTCTTGTCCTCTTATTTTCTTTCCTTCTTCCCGAAATAGTAGAGGTTGGATTATAAACGTACGATGGTTGCAGTCAACACTCAGTCATTGGTTATCCTAACAATTGTGAGGCTACCTCCTAGCCCTTCCTCTCATTATGACTCTTAGCGCATCCCCTGTCCCCACTATCATACCTCAATGTGAATCACTCAAGACTATCATCTTACCATCGTGGAGGGTGACTTGGACTGAATAGCGGGTATAAACACCAAGGATGGGCAGGCTGGCGCCCACGGACAAGTCCGGACTGTTATAGTTCACCCACGAATAGTAGGCGGAACCCGGACGAACTGGAGCGACTTATATCCCTACCCAACTCCGTTTGAAGTTGAATCGGATGAGCCTTGTCGTGCAGGAACTTTGGATGCCAGGCTCAAGCATTTTTCTACTAGCCCCTATGCTCAGAGGTTTTACCCGGACCAGGTAACAAGTATAAGCGCTAAGGCTAGGAAGGCTAGCATCCACGGACAAGTCCAAACTGTCCTAGCTTAACCAAGGCTGAGCAGATTCCGGACGAGCCGGACTGACTTATATCCCTACCGAGCCCCGGTCCTACCAGTTAATATTGAAGCTTGTACTAGACCCCCCTGAACCCCTCCCCAGCCTGGTACTGTAGCTGTATATACGTACCCGGAGGCTGTCTATGTGCCCATAGGCTATGTGTATGTCCGTAGGCCATGTATGTGTGCCCGGAGGCTGTATGTGTGCTGTGTATATGTGTCTGTAGGCTATATGTAGACTATGTGTGCCTGGAGGCTGTATGTGCGCTGTGCATATGTGTCTGTAGGCTATGTACGTGTCAGGAGGTTGTGCATGTGCCAGTAAGTTGTATATGTAAGCCTTGTACAGTTCTGTCTATCATAGTCCTATCTGTGCTAGAAATGCCCCACCAAAGTCCCAAGCCAAACTCGAACCCATGTTCATCATCATGTAACCTCTGTGTTCTACAATGTGCGCTACAAATTTTATTTTTTTTTGTGCGCTCCAATCCCAAATGATACCATTGTGTGATATGCCAGACTCGGGAGATCATCAGAACAATGGCGAACGTCCTTACGCAACCCACTCATAGTCAAGACCCGACGCACAACAATCCAAGCAGAGTCGTCTCTAGGGTTTCCCGTATGCAGGGGCTGTGTAACGGAAGGGGAAATTACAGTATTGTCTACCGCGTGGGCGCGGGGAACGCAGCCCTAA